CCTCCTGACACTCACGTTCAGGGGGTCTGGGTCAGTCCTATGCTGGTTTCTCAGCTATCAGTCTGGGGTCCATGAGCTCCCTGTTGTTCAGGTCAGCTGCTTCAGTGGGTTTCTCCAGACTGGCCTTGACCCCTGTGCACATTACTCTCTGCAACTGGATTCCAGGAGTTTGGCTCAGTGTTTAGCTGTGGGTCCTCTGCTCCCATCAATCACTGGATGAAGGCTCTAGGATGGCATGTAAGATAGTCATCAATCTCATTATTGGGGAAGGGCATTTAAGGTAGCCTCTCCACTACTACTTAGATTGTTAGTTGCGGTCATCCTTGTAGATCTCTGAACATTTCCCTAGTGCCAGATTTCTCTTTAAACCTATAATGGCTCCCTCTATTATGGTATCTCCTGTCTTGTTCTCCTCTATTCTTCCCGTGACTCAATCTTCCTGACCCCTCATGTCCTCCTCTTCTCCTCTTCTCTTTCTCCTAACTCCCTCTCCGCTCCCCCATGCTCCCAATTAGTTCAGGAGATCTTGTCCCTTTCCCCTTCTCCAGGGGACCATGTATGTCTCTCTTAGGGTCCTCCTTGTTTCCTAGCTTCTCTGGCAGTATGGATTGTAGGCTGGCAATCATGTGTTCTATGCCTAAAATCCATATATGAGTGAGTACATACCATGTTTGTCTTTTTGTGACTGGTTACCTCACTCAGGATGGTTTCTCCTAGTTCCATCTATTTGCCTGCAAATTTCAAGATTCCATTGTTTTATTTTTCTGCTGAGTACTACTCCATTGTGTAAATGTACCACATTTTCTCTATCCACTCTTCAGTTGAGGGGCATCTGGGTTGCTTCCAAGTTCTGACTATCACAAATAATGCTGCTATGAACATAGTTGAACAGATGTCCTTGTTGTATGAATGTGCATCTTTTGGGTATATGCCTAAGAGTGGAATTGCTGGATCTTGTGGTAGGCTGACTCCCATTTTCCTGAGGAACCGCCATACTGATTTCCAAAGTGACTGTACTTGGCACTCCCACCAGCAGTGGAGGAGTGTTTCCCTTTATCCACATCCTTTCTAGCATAAACTGTTTGGAGTTTTTGATTTTAGCCATTCTGACAGGTGCAAGATGGTATCTCAGAGTTGTTTTGAATTGCATTTCCTTGATGGCTAAGTATATTGAGTACTTTCTTAAGTGTCTTTCAATCATTTTAGATTCCTCTATTGAGAATTCTCTATTTAGTTCTGTACACTACTTTTTAATTGGATTATTTGGTGTTTTGGTGACAAGCTTCTTGAGTTCTTTGTATATTTTGGAAATCAGCCCTCTGTCAGATGTGGGGTTTGTGAATATCCTTTCCCATTCTGTGGGCCGCCATTTTGTCTTGCTGACTGTGTCCTTTGCCTTACAGAAGCTCCTTAGTTTCAGGAGGTCCCATTTATTAATTATTGATTTCGGTGTCTGTGCTATTGGTGGGTCTAACTTCTTTTAATCTCACTCACATCCTCTTTCTAGGCCACAGGATAAATTCCTCAGGCTCAATAAAACCATGAAATCTATATCTTCAGGGGACACCCACTTCTGACCTTCACACTTGGTCCACACATGACTGTCTTCTCAGGGCCAGATTTCCCAAGCTCAACACACCTAAACTGAAAGCCATGATCTGTTCTCATTGTACTCTCTTAAGTGCATGTTGTCCCTCCAGTATCTCCATGGCCCGTCAGTACCTCCATCCATCCAAGCCCTTGGTTCAGAAACATGAGGCTCATTCTCAGTATCTCCATCTCCCTGACCTTATAAAGACTAAGGACCACTTATTTGGTTCCCAAATAATTCTTGAATGTGTTCCCTCCTCCTATCTCCACTGCTTCTAACTCCAGTCTCGGTGCTCTAGAGAGAGGAGCTTCTCCAAATCCTTTGATTCTTCTTCATATGCTCCAGTGGGACACTGACCCATTCCTAACAGGAGGCCAGAGTAACCTTCACCAGATACTTTGTACTGTTACGTCACTCACTTAAAACTTGCCCTGGTCTCCTATTACTTTTGAGATTCTATTTTAAATCCTTAAGGAGACATCTGCTGCTTATCCTTCTCCGGCTCTCACAGATTAAGCGCTTTCCTACATCTTGGACTCCCTACCTGCCTTTTCCCCTTATCTGAAACAATTCCTTCTACAGACCTGCAGACCCAAACACACACACATACACACACACACACACACAACACACACACATATACACACACACACACACACACACACCACTCCCTTTTGCCTTTTTCCTGTCCACTGCTGAAGCTCGGTTTAAATTCCATTTCATCAAGGAATTCTTCCATGAACACCTAGATTAGTTAAGGATACTACTTATTCAGTATACAGGTGCCCCATTTTAATTAGTGACTTTTTCATGGCCATGTTTGTGGGAAGTGGGTTAAATCTTGAGTGAAATGGGTACTGTTGACATGAGTATGGCCATGTCAAGGACCTTAATGCCTCAGGCATGTGGAAAGGGTAACACTTTCTCTGCGTGAGACCCAGAAGCATGGCAAAGCCTTTCTCGGATTGGAGTACAAAGGCCAGCAACCATAGCTTCCTCCTCCAGGATGACTGCAACCTGGAATTGTTTCCCTATAGAGATCTCCCACGGAGACCTGCTTATACTCCTCCTCCTTGTATATAATAAATGTGTTAGTTTTTTGGCTACACAGTAGGTGCCATCCATCAAGGTGAGCACAGTCCACCTACTACCAGCTTTTCTGTATGTGTATCTGTAGTTCTTCATTCCCAAGTTGCCCCAATCAGGTTTCCATTACCAAACCAGGCAGATGAGGCATCCCTAGAACAATGCCCACAAAGGCTGGAGTAGACAGATACGTATTAACTATTGTTCAAGACATGCTATGGCTCAATATAGATTTTTAATAATTGATACATAGCTGAAAATGTAGGAAGAGAGAGATGTTAAGAACTATCCATGCTCTTGCAACCTGCCTGTACCTTCTTATTCTTGATGGGCCATAGCAGGGATAGTAGAGAAATGAGGAAGGACCAAATGAGAGGAAGAAGATGGAAGGATGAGCAAGAAAACAAAAGGATCAGCACATATTGCCTTGAGATAACTTCGAAACACGAACAACAGGACGTTAGCTTTTCAGGAAAGTTAGTGAGAAAACGCAGGCGCAGGAAGACAAACACCACATGCTCTCTCTCATATGTGGGTCTTAGCTTCCAGTTTTTATATATGTGTGTTGATGTGGGAGTGGATGTGTATTGAGGCCAGGAAGCTAGAAAGGAGCCACAAAAGGGGGGGGGGAAGAGGTCTGAGGCTTGGGGCGGGCAGTAGAGCACAAGTGTCTAGAAAGTGAAGAGGAGGTGGAATCTCAGGGGCACAAAGTTTTAAGGAGTGATGGGTAGACAGAGGAGGTGGAGTTGGGTAGTGGAGGACCACCCCCAGAAGATAGATTATTAAGTGAGAGTCCTAATGCCAGGGTGGGCTACCTTCCTATAAGGGCTTTATCAGTGGGACCCCTGAGGCACCCCCCAAACAATACAGGCTCCTGTCACTGCTCTTAGTTGCCTGTCAGAATGACATGCTAAGACCTGTCACTGAAGATGCTGTGGCTTTGATTGGAACTGAGCTGGAAGCATTCTTCCTGCTGGCTACTGCTGATAATGCTGAAAGGTGTCAGTGGGAGTGAAAAGCCATCAAAGCTCTTACCGTCTGTGGACCTAGTATTTTACCATACTGACTTTCTGGGAAAGATGTGCCCATTGGTGCAATAGTGGCATAGCTTCCATAGGGGTAACTAAGCACTTTATGATTTTTCTGACTGGGTTTGAGTGCATTCCTTGCCCCAGATGGAATTGAAGCCTGGCATTATAAACCTGGTCAAAAGTGTGAGGCTGCCAAGGTCATAGACCATAGTGAGGAACCATCACAGTTGTTCTATTGAATGACACATTGTATCCATCAAGTTGAATGTGAAATATTTATAGATTAGTGCTGCCCAAAGCTTTGGTCAGAAAAGTTTCAGAGAAGCAGTGGGCAGTGATTACTGCAATGCTGTCTCTACCAACACCTTAATCAAATCACTAAAGGTAAGTTCCTTTATTACGTGGGTTACACAAAGGGAAATCAGAATCCCTCAGAGCCCAATGTGAAAATATCACCTTCTGAGAAACTTCCTGATTCACTGAGAAAGCCACTTTGAAATCAGTTTCCTGGTGGCAGTAGGTGCCATAGGTTGGAACCATGTGAAACCCATAACTTAAGGATAAGTAACTAATCTAGCCTGAGTAGACTAGATCAGACTAGAGATGCTGCCCTTCCTTTTCAGTGAAAACATTATTTTTCATGTGACACCAAGTTTCTTTCCACCTAATGTATCTCAGACACCAGTACTTCATTTTATCCTGGTTCTCAGTGTCCTCTGCTGGTCTTGTATTTTGGTAAAAAGAGATGAAACTGATGTGCTCAATAGAAATAGGGAGAATCTGGACATAAATAAGTGAAATAAAATTACTGGGCATCTCAGTGATTGAGGCCATTGAAACAGCTGCCCACAATATTCCTTCAATGGAAACATTTATGATGCATGATGAAAATGTAGCATTGATCTCACTATGCAAACAAGGGACAGTCTGCTAAAATGCTCAAGACAAATTGATGACTGTCTTAACAATGCACAAACTTTTAAAGATTAACTGACAGGTGCTCAATGCCCTTTTTACAATGTATCCACTCAGTTGTTACTATTAATTCTGTAGATTGACCCACGTGGTCACCCATGGTGGAAAAGTACAAGCTAATGATTTTCCTCTAAGGATCTCTCTGAGAAATAGTGCAGAAGGATGATGGACATGTTCATTACTACAAGACAAAGTGAGAAAACAGAGATGTCTTTTTAATAATAGCATTTTCCAGAACAAGGCTTGTATAGGCTACACAAAATAAACAACATCAGACATGCACATTAGCATCAAAGGACAGTTTTCTGATTACTCACATCAGTGTCGGGTCCCTTGTCTGCACCCGGACAGGAGAATGTAACAAACTCATGGCACCTCTTGTGGACCACGAAACAGCAAACTGAGGAGAGAAAAGAAAATGAAATTAGAAGGGTCTAGATTTCACAAACCAAATGGTGAGGAGTCATTTGAGCTTCAGCATAGACAGAATCTCACAGCAACACAAAGGCATTTCATCCAAAAATCAACAACATCTTGTTTCAATTAAGTTTGTAGATAATACCACAGAATGCTATGGTTAACTAATCTGTAACCCCTCAACCCTAAAGTTGAAGGATAGGAGATCCTAAGCTTGTTAGACACTGTCTCAATATAAAACCTAGGATTATCATTTGAACATATTCTGCACTGTCCTATACCTCTACATACATATAGAGACACAAGCACACGCGTGCATGTGGGTACACACCCACACTCATACATGTATACATATACATATGAATAGAAACATTATATTCTGTAGGTTAAATAAAAATAACTACAAAAGGAATTAACTGATGCTAAATAATGCAGAAGTATCCTAAGTAAGACTTAGAAGATCCAGGTTTATTTTCATTACCGTGTCATTTCACAAACCATTTGTGTCTCTAATTCTAAAGGATTCAACACTCTCTTTTAGCCTCTGTGGGTGCTACACACATGTGGGACAGAAACATACATGCAGGCAAAATACTGATATACATAAAATAAAAGTATTTTTTAAAAAAGATATTAACTCAATCTATAGAAAACACCTCAATCTATAGAAAAGCAATTGGAATGCATTCTAACACTTTCTTACAATTGTTTATGGCAGACACTGTCCCCAAGGTAGAAGAACCTTTGCAAATATAGCAAAAATTGTAAGAGGCATTTCTAATCCCAGTAACAGTTTCATAACTAACCCTGAAGATGAATCAATAAAATGATCTAATTGTTAGAAATGAATAAGTAATCCCTACGAGGCCTTTGTGGATGGTGTAATATAGACGATACAGAAGTGATCTGTTTATTCTTTTCTTCAGAGCTTGGAGTGGCACTCACCAAGTACCCTCTACTGTCATACTGTGTCAAACAGCAAAAATAAACTAACAATACTAAAAATGCTAAATAATAAAACACTGCCTAAAGTATTGGGAAAGTCACAAGGTTTTACTACATTTTATAGTTTTCATGTATGCTCCATCCAAAACACGCACTGATAAAATCTGGCTGCAATTCTAGTGGTACATAGAGAACGGAACCCAGGAAAGTGACTGGGAAATGAACATTTGTCCCTTGTAGGTAGTGACTTATAGCTTTATGAAAGGATAAGTTTAGGGCTAGTTGAAATGGCTCAGAAGGTACAGGAGCTTGCCTAACCCTGATGACCTCAGTTAGGACACCCATATGGGAAGAACTGAAATGACCACAGCAGGTTGTCCTTTACTTCCAGATGCATGCTGTGGTGGGAACATGCATGCCTACACACATGCGTACATACACAGCACAAAAGGAAACACAGTAAGAAGGGCAAGGTCATGCCCCTTTGTCTCTTGGACTTTTTACCCTCCCACATGTGGATCTCTGTTTTCCTTCCTGCTAGAGGAAGTAGCTAAAAGGTGTGTGCCAGCCCAGCACTGTGACCTTGGGCTTTCACTATGCAGAAGTGTGAGAAAGTCAAGTGTTATTTATAAACTATCCAGTGTGTGGTGTTTTGTTACAGCAGCAGAAAGGAACTAATATGCAGTGCAAGGAAGGTTAGAATGTTCCGATTGGTGGCTCATGCACTATTTTCTTCTTGCACAATGACAACACTGCCTCCTGCATCTGTGTTAGTAGTTGAAGGAGATGGAAGAGGATGAAGAAAGACTGTAGGCTTGCTGAGAGCTGAAATTCCAGGAGGACACAAACACGCACCGAGCCAAGTACTAAGAATCCCTAGAGAGTCAGGAGTGGCCAGAAACAAATTCAGAATCCTTTTGCTGGGTCCTGGAAACCACAGGAAGATCTCAAATAAAGAGAAACGTCTTTGAAAGCTATGCTTCAGAGGGGCGGGCACAGAAGAATAAAATGTAACAGATTGTGGACCAAAGCCTAGGGTCTCTTAGGTCTGAAAGCAACTGCCCGTCATTATTTAGACAGCTAAGATGTTGAAGCAGAGGAACTGGACCTTCAGACTGACCACAGAATGCCATCTGCCAGTGAGTGCCCTGCTGTGTGTGAGTGGGCATCTTGCCCCATCCTTCATGTGTACTGTCATAGTGAAGCTTCATATGGACACTATTTAATAAGCTTCAATATCCATGGTTTTAGATGGAAAACATTGTTCGGGGACCTAGACAACTTTAAGCACACAAAGAGTATTCATCAATGAGAGGAATGGAGGCAGGGAAACCCCTCAGGGGAATAGATGGAAAGACCAATGGATGAAGATCGTGCCTCAGGTCACCCACCTCCAATGCAGTGGAGCCAGGACCACACCAAGTATGCTTGACTCCACACCCTGCTTTACTTTGACAGTGTCAAATCCACCGAGGCATCAAGGGCAGTGGGACAAAAGGACAGACACAGTCCTTGCTGCCCCCTGTAGCAGCCTGGAGGGTTGTTTCAGGGACCTAAACTCAGGAGAAGCCAGGATTCTTGACTTTGGCACAGAAAGGAACTTTAGATGAAGCAGTGTGAAACCAGGTTGGTGTTTCTTGAGATTTTTACTTGGATTTAACCTTAGGGGTTAATGAAGAGGGTTTGATGGGAAGGATGGGACACCTGTGCATGGTGCAGGCCTCTCCACAGAAAGTACATACATGTCTTTATAACAACCTTATATATGACTTTGGCGGCTTCTGAAGTCACATCTCAGATTGTTGCTAAGGAACACTTTCTTTTGAGCACTAGACAGTATTACATCAGAAGCAGTAAAACCCAAGGTCACAAAGTTGCAGAGGTGTCAGGGGTTGCAGAAATGGTTTCTTATTTTAAAGAAAAGTGTCTAGTCTTGTTTGTGAGATTCTCCAAATATTTCAGGTTTACATCTGAGAAAAGAGTAAGGTCATATATGCTTAGGCCTTAAGCAAGTTTCACTGCTCTTTTAATGTTGTTATTTAAAATATCTTAATATAAAAGAAATGCTGTATCTATGTAGGCAAGATCCATGGCATTTTTTTAAAAATTGTGCTGGGTTTCTTGACTCTTGGCTGGCATGAGACTTCAACAAGACTCTTAGCATAAGAGCCTTTTCCCCTTTCCATTTCCCCTTCATCTTCTCTGCCCTTCTATTTTGCCTCAGTGGGATTTTGGAAACAAAAAGGATATTAGAGCCAGTGACATCATGGTTTATACAGGTCATGGGTACAAAGGATACATGACAAAAATATGTTTATGCATATTCACATACATCTACAGAAACACAGAGAGTGGAGATATAGGTATGCTATACTTGGTAAATAAGGGATAATGAACTGTTTTCTTTTTTAGTTTCTTTGGTCATAATACAATGCACTGTAAGAAAATGCACATAAAAACAAACAAACAACAAAAACGAACTGAAAATGCTTGCTTGGCAGTGACCAAAACCAAAGCTGACTGTGTGAGTGTTAATAACTGGCGTGCTCTTGCAGTGAACAGTCCTTCGGAGCAGAGACTGCTGAGGTGGCAAAGGGTCCTCTTGGGCTATGCTATCTGCCATACCCAGCATGCATGCCTTCACTGCATGGTCCTGCAGGAGGTGAGCATGGGACTGAATGTGTAGCAGTGCCCAGACAATTGATCCATGAGTGGGCAGTGCTGATCTCCTCCAAGCCTTAAGAGAAGAGCTTCCACACTGTTTCTGCCAAAGCATCTCAATGGGAAATTCTCCAGTGATAGATAATAAAGCAGCAATGGGGAGACCCAGGAAGATATGCTCACTCCCTGACACCTAGCACAAAGACATATTTTATTTACTGAAATTATTAGAAGGATCACTGACTAAAGGAAAAGGATTACAGGGCTGTTGGGAGATGTCATTCTGTAAATATGTGTCTGATTGGTTTGAATAAAGCACTGTTGGCCAATAGGGAAGCAAGATAGGTGGGACTAGGAGTCAAGGAGGAATCTGGGAAAGAGAGGCAGAGAGAGACACAAAGTAGCCCGCTACAGGAGTAAGAGGTCTGGATCCTTTTCTCTGATAAGAGAAATAGGTAGATTAACAATTATGGGTTAAATACTTAAGTCAGAGCTAGCCAGTAAGAAACAGAGCAAACGGCCAAGAGCTTCATAATTAATATAATGTCTTGTGTGTTATTTGGGGACTGCAACTGTGGCAGGGCCTAGGCGGCTGGCTAGGAAGGCTACACTCTACACAGGGCACTGTCCCTCCGTCAGAATTTATTATGAAGAAGACTTGGGGGGGGGTGAGCAAGCGTTTTAATGTCCCACTGACTTGTTCCAACTTTTGCATCTTCCACTTTCCTTTTCAAGCACCTCCACAACTAGATGAACATGATTAGCACCTAAGCATCCAGCCCCTTTGGAAGAACACTTAGTCTTTTCTGTTTGTCATCTCTGCACACAGACACCAGTGCACTGACACCAGCTGAAGTATTTCTATAATACACTGCAAGAAAATACTTACTTCAAATAGGAACCTAAGAATCAAGTGCTCACTGTCCTCTAAAATTTGCAAGGGCAGCAAAATCCTCACTTACTCCCAAATTACTTCCTCCTACTCTGACTTAGTGGCCCTTGTCCCAAGCTGCTTCAATGCAAATTCTCATTTCAGTGAATGCCTCCAACAGGAGATAGACAGAAGGTCCCAAGTGTCCAGGATTATCAGGGATGCATGAATTATCTGGGGCATAGAGACCTTAAGCCTGCTTGTATTTTGAACATTCAAATGGTAGCATGAGTATCTAGCATGCACAAGGCCCTAGGTTCAGTCTCCATCACCATGTACACTTATAATCCCAGAATATGGGAAGGGGGCTTAAGACAGGCAGATCAAAAGATCAATATCCTTGACTACAGAGTGAGTTCCCGTCCAACAAAGAGCTAGAGGAGATGCTGTCTCAAAAAAGAACAAGCCATGCATGTTCTCCTTAGCCAGAGCTCACAACATGCCTG